ATATTGGCACACATAATATTTTTTAAATTAAATGAAATATTTTTCAAGAGTAAAATGGTGGTAAAGAATTCTGGTGAATTCTGCAGAATGCATGTATGGAAAATATACAAAAATACTGGGTTTTAGTTTCCTTCAGGGTTAATCTAGGCTGGGTACAGAACAGGAGTAGAAGTAGTTTAATTGTGAGTCATTTGAACAACAACAACAAAAATGACCTTTCTGAAACGTGAACTAAACTAAAACTATTAAATCGATAATGGTAGAGCATTTAGAATGAAGCCCACAGGAGCTAGAGAGATGGCTCAGCAGTTATGAGTGCTTACAACTCTTCCAGAGGACTCAGGTTCAGTTCCTAGCACTCACATCCTGTAGCTCACACTCCCCTGTGGGTCCAAGTCCGGGGATCCAGTGCCTCTGACCTCTGAGGACAGCTGTACTCACGTGCACACACCCACGAACAGACACAAATGCACACACATGATTTGAAAATGTAACAAAAAAATGAGAAATAAACTCAACCAGGCATGGTGGCACGTGCCGTTGACTCTCAGGAGGCAGAGGCAGGAGGATCTCTAAGTTTAAAGCCAGCCTGGTCTACAGCACAAGTTCCAGGACAGCCAGGGCTACACAGAGAGATCCTGCCTCAAAACACCAAATTAAATTACGTTAAACGCACTTAAGAGCTGGGTGGTGACTTGGAGTGGCAGAGATCAAGACTTCTGAATCTAGGCATAGGTCCTGGGGCCAAACAGTAGAAGAAGGACAGGGCAGAGTGAGAGGAGTCCTCTCCAACAGTAGGGAACAGCGCTGGGCTTGGTTTATGTTTTCAGGGGCTACAGGATATATAAACATGAAAAAAAACTAAAGTATGGCTTGCACCTGGAAATATCCAGATGAGCACATATTTAATTAAATGCTGGCAGATGCCCATAGGGCAAATGCTCCATAACCCAGAGACTATATGCAATGTAAGTGGGTTTTTGTTTGTTTTAATGTGTATGCAGGTATTTTCCCTGCACCAGGTACACGCAGTACCCCTGGAGACCAGAAGAGGGCACTGGATCCCCTGGCACTGACCTTACAGACAGTTGTGCCCTACCATGTCTGTGCTGGGAACCCAACCTAGAGCCTCTAAAGTAAAGCCAGCACTCTCTACTGCTGAGCCATCTCTCTGGCTCTATAAGCATATTTTATTGATAAGACACTCAATGTTTGAGGAGCAGGGATACCCAAAGGAGAGGAGGAGTAGGGCCTGGCTGTACTTCTGGGGCTTCAGATACTTCCGGACATCCTCACAGCAAAGCCTGCCCTAGCCCAGGTGACAAGTGCACACAGGGCAGGCAGAGTCATTGCAAGTAGCAAGAGGGACAGCAGCAGCAAAGTAAAACCTGGCCACCGTGATATCCACACCCCCCAAAGCATAAGCACTACAATGGAGAGGTGCTACAATGTCTAGCTGGTTCATGCCACAGCCGTGCAACAAACATTCCTGTCACTCTGTCTAGCAAGGTTCAGCTGTAAGCTCAGACTTGATGCATATTTCTGTACAGTGGAACAGAAACACCCTGTACAGACACACCCACAACTGTGTCTCCTAGGTGACTCTAAATCATTAAATTGACAATGAAGATTAACTGTCACAGAGCTGGGCAGGTTATCTGGCTGTATTTCCCAAGCTGTCCACAAACTCCCAGACTCATGTCCTCCTTCCCCAACCCTCCAAAATTATTTGGACTACAGGTTTATTCCATCATGCCAGTCTTTTGTTGATTTTTTTATAGTTAGAACTTTGTATTGATATTTTTGAAGATTTTATTTATTTTGATTTTGTGTTCGTAAGTATTTTTGTCTGCATGTATGTCTGTGTGCTGCATGTGTCTGGTGCCCACAAGGCCAGAAGAGGGCATTAGATCCCCTAAAACCAGAGATACAGATAGTTGGAAGGCACTGTGTAGGTGCTGGACATTGAATCCAGGTCCTCTATAAGACAGCAAATGTTCTTAACTGCTGAGCCATCTCTCAAGCCCCCTCTTTCCTATAGCTTTCATCAGGACAGGAATATTTGTTAAGGAGAGGCAACACTGAATTGGCAGGATTAAGAATGGCTGATCCTGGGCTGGAGAGATGGCTCAGAGGTTAAGAGCCCTGGCTGCTCTGCCAGAGGTCCTGAGTTCAATTCCCAGCAACCACATGGTGGCTCACAACCATCTGTAATGAGATCTGGTGCCCTCTTCTGTCATGCAGGCATACATGGAAACAGGATGTTGTATTCATAATAAATAAATCTTTAAAAGAATGGCATGATTCATGCCAGTCAGTGGATAGTTATGACTCTGTGGAAACCACACACCCTCAGTGACTCTGGTGGCTGCTGTCAGCCATCCTGTGACATGAGAATGTTACTGAAGATAAAGCCAGTGTGAAGGAAATAGATGAAAGAATTGAGTCTTTGGTGACTGTGATGAGCTTTGAGCCATGATGAGGTGTCCAAGGATGTCCTGCCACTAGGACTCCTGACCTGTAAGACAAGGGTCCCTGTGGGGAACCCAGCCCTCATATCCAAGAATATCCCAGAACCATATCCAAGAATAGAGGAAGCAAACGTTTTCAGCAAGGCCACTGAGCCTTCCATGGTGGTCCCTAATCACCCCTTTAAAGCCTTCCCTTGGTTTCCCCACCTGTAACTATTTCCCGAATACTTTTGTGTGCCAAGCAACCTGGTGACTACTGGACACAAAGACCACACAGCTAGCCTTCCAGGGACTGCAGACTGCCAGGTATTAGAAAAATATCAAGACAGCTCTACACACATTGATATGAAGCCAACTCGTATACCTGCCAGGAAAAACTTAAAACAGAACAGCATGGTGAACTGTGTACTAGCTTGGTTGCACAAACAGATACATGAGAAAATAGATGTGCCTGCACCCACATAGAACATTTCCGGGTGAATGCAAGAGAAATGATTAAAGCCCTGGGGATGTAACTCTCTTGGTAGTGTGCTTGCCTGGCATGCATAAAAGCCCTGGGTTTGAGGCACAGCATAGCACTACGGGAGTCTCTGTGAACACTGCAGCCAACAGAATGATGATTCATGGGAGTCCAGAAGACAGTTCAGCTCAACACTACTCGGTACCCAGTGCTGGTCAAACTTCAAGAGTCTGACCCTGAGGGGTTTATTTTAGGCATATTTAAGCACAACACAATTTGATGAAAAGTTTTCTGGTAGTAAATAACTCAATCCCTTAAGCACAACAAAGCTTAAGACAAGATGACATCAAAACTCTTTGTAAACTATAAGTGATGTCTTCCATAAAGATGAGTTCTATAGGTTAACTGGAGGATACAATGTGATCTGAGCCACAACATCGTAAAGGTCACCGGGCTATTAACCAAGTCTGCTCTCAGTCTGCTGGATGGAAAACAGGTTGCACATCTCTCCTCTTTGAGAGACAACCCTGTGTATTTAACATTCCCGGTTTCCCTAGTGCTTATCTGTGAGCACAAGGAACTCTGGGCCTCCTACATGGCACAAAATCGGGCATAGTCGGACACGTGTAATATCAGCACTCTGGAGGTGGAGGTGGGTGGATCAGAGGTTCATTGCCACCTTCAGCTATTTGTGGGTTCAAGGCCAGCTTGGTCTAAAAGGAGGGGAGGAACTAGAAAGAAATGGACCCTCCAGGTGCCTCTGTAGAGGGGAGCAAAGGACAGGGAGGCTCAGGTAGGAAACTTGATTGTCTGATCTTGCCTTTGCAGTTTGAATAGTTTGCAATGTGCTTAAAAAAAAAAGATAAGTTGCAGCATCCTGGAAAAGCATTCAAGACATCTTGTTATCTTGACATGATAAATTCAGGTTTCAAAATCGTAGGCACAATGCGACCCCTATTTCTGTAGAAAAAGAATGTGTGATACATTCCTTACATAGAGGAGTGTTGCATTAGTTTGTATTTTCCCTGCGGTTTATTTGACATTTTTCTGATAAAGTACAAACAGTAAAAACGGGCACAAACGCCAAAGTCCATGTCCCCTTCTCCCTTCTTTGAATACAGCTCCCTGTAGCCTGTGCTTAATTATGACATGGAAAACGTCAACAGACATTATGTCTGAGGTGGGGTACAGCAGGGGACAGTCTCCGTTTGTGCTGTCCTGGGACTTCTCATTTTCATCAATATGTTTATATTGCTATGAGAATAAGAAACACACATATTATTTCTTTGTGTGTGGTGTGTGACATACATGTGTTCTTGGGTGAATTCATGTACACATTCAGGTGCACATTGAACACATACATGTAGAGAGAGGCCAAAGCCAAGTGTCCTCCTTAGCTGCTCCCCATTTCATTTAGTTTTTTTGTTTGTTTGTTTTTGTTTTTTCGAGGCAGGGTTTCTCTGTATTGTTTTGGAGGATTTCCTGGAACTCGCTTTGTAGACCAGGATGGCCTCAAACTCACAGAGATCTGCCTGCCTCTGCCTCCTGAGTGCTGGGATTAAAGGCATGCACCACCAACACCTGGCTTCATTTAGTTTTTAAAAAATATTTATTTTTATTGTATGTGCACTTGTGTTTTGCCTACACATAGGTCTGTGTGAGGGTGTTGGATCTTGGAATTGCAGACAGTTGTGAGCTGCCATGTGGACGCTGGGAATTGAACCGGGTTTCTCTGGAAAAGCAGTTAGTGCTCTTAAGTGCTGAGCCATCTCTCTAGACCCAGCCCCCCTGCCGCTTTGTTTAATTTTAAAGAGTTGCTTGTTTTTATTTTACATGTGTCTGTGGTTTGCCCGAATGTATGCATGTGTACCACATGCATGCTTTGTGTCCATGGAGGTCAGAAGAGGGCACTGGATCCCATGGAACTGGAATTATGGATGGTTGTAAGCCTTTGTATGGGTGATGGGAACCAAACTCCAGTCCTCTGGAAGAGTAACAAATGCTCTTAACTGGTGAATCACCTCTCTGGCTCCTCCACTTTACCTTTGAGAAAGGGTCTCTCATTGACATGGGTTCAGTTATATTTATTGGTTAGTGAGCTTCAGAGCTGTATCTGTCTGTCTACCCAGCATTGGGATTGATGTCCATCAACACACCTGGGATTACAGATGTCCATCAACACACCTGGGATTACAGATGTCCATCAACACACCTGGGATTGCAGATGTCCATCAACACACCTGGGATTACAGATGTCCATCAGCACACCTGGGATTACAGATGTCTATCAGCACACCTGGGATTACAGATGTCCATCAGTACACCTGGGATTACAGATGTCCATCAACACACCTGACTTCTTACATGGGTCTACAGACCCTAACTCAGGTCCTCATGCTTATATGGAAAGCTCTTTATGGATTTAGCCAATTCCACCAACCCCTTAAGTTTTAAAAATATTTACCTACTTATTGTTATGTGCATTGATGTTTGGCCTCTGTGAATGCCTGTGCATCACAACCCAGCAGTGTCTGTGGAGGCCAGCAGAAGGTAGGAGAACTAGAGTTAAAGACCATTGTGAGTGCCAGATAGGAATTAAACCCAGGTCCTCTGGAAGAGCAGCCAATGCTCTCATCCACTGAGCCATCTCTCAGTGGATGAGAGCATTATTTTATGTGTATGAGAATTTCACCTGCATGTATGCAAATGCACTGTAGGCATGTATGGTGCCCATAGAGATCAGAAGAAAATGGCACCAGGTCCCCTGGAATTGGAGTTATGGGCATTGTAATTGCCATGTGGGTTTGGGAACCAAGCCCGGGCAGATCTGCTGCAAGAGCAGCATATTAACGGCTGAACCATCTCACCAGTCTCCGTCCCCACAACCCCACCCCACCCCTGTGAAACAGGGTCTCACTGTGCGGCCGAGGCTGGCCTGGGTGTTTCTGTGAAACGGGTCTCACTGTGCAGCCGAGGCTGGCCTGGGTTTTGCTGTGAAACGGGGTCTCACTGTGCAGCCGAGGCTGGCCTGGGTGTTGCTGTGAAACGGGGTCTCACTATGCGGCCAAGGCTGGCCTGGGTGTCGCTGTGATCCTCCTGCCTCAGTGCTGAGACATGAGACGGGTACCACCATGCCTGGCTCAAACACATTGCAATGCTGTGCACTGAGACAGGCTTTAAGCTTTCACCCTTTCTCAGTTCAGCACAGAAGAATTAGCTTCATGTGTCTCAGCCTCTCATCCTCTGCACCCCTCACCCCACTCAATTTGGGAAGCAGAATGGGTGATGAGTCCACACGTCCGAATTACGGAAAAAGATTCCTGTGCCACTCTGAACAAAATCCCCTTCCTCTCTGGCTGCCCTGGCCTCCCAGCCTCCACCCTCTGCCCACCAGGTCCTTCCAGAGACAGGGTGAGTGTCCCAGAGAAACCTGTCGGCCTGCTGGGACTCAGAGGGGCTCAGCCCAGGACTCACCCTCTGCCTTCTTCCTCAGCCAGAGCCACCTGGAAATGGATGAGAACGAGGAGAGAAGGGAGTCGAGCTAGTTCCCTTTCCCAGAGATCTTAGGTTAAAAACGTCTGGCCTAGTTAAAACCGCACCTTAATGAGGCTTCTTTCTGGCCTAATTGTTACCATGGCAATGACCCCCGGTGGCCATCTTTAATTAACTTGGAATCAGAGTTGCCAAATGAGCTCCTCCAGTAAATTGCTCAGCAGCCCAGGCAGTCACGCGGCCCCCTCCTCTGTCCCTGGCCCTCTCTGCCCCTGCACTTGGAGGATGATGAGGCCCGAGATTCTCGGCCTTTCTCTCCACCCTCTGGACTTGCCCGCCATGGTCAGGGGAGGAGCTCAGACGTAGAGCAGCGAGAACAGTAGAGATAACAGCAGCACAATGCCAAGTCCGTCACACAATTCTCTCCTTCAGTCTCCACAGCGATGCTAGCCGGGTGGACCATTGTCACCACTCTCTGCCTCTTTCTGGTGAGAGGCTGTCGGCACCTGGCAGAGTTGGGATTGCACCCAGGCCGTCAGGTTCCAGGATCAGCCTCGGCTGGAGGTACAGTCAGTGGTCTCACACGTTTCTTCGGAGCTGGAGTGGTGACTCTCCAGCTGTGTGACCTGGGGCCACTCCCTTCACATCTGTGACATGTTTCCTCGCTTGAGACAAGGAGTGTCACGAGTGCCAGAGGGCAGAAGGACCTGAGGAGCCGTACCAGGTCCGTTCAGCAGTCCTCAATGCAGCCAGAGCCTGCCTGTCACCTTTGCCATGATGTGGCTCTGGAAGCAAGATGATGCTGAGGTCTAGACAACAAACACTACCACAGACATCCTTGGCTCCACGGCTCCTCTCACAGCTCACCTCGATGCCCTTGCCGGGTGGCTCTTTCTGTTTGTTTTTGCTCTTTAAGACAGGGTTTCTCTGTGAGGCCCAGACTGTCCTAGAACTCACTCTGTAGACCAGACTTGGCTTGAACTCCAAGATTTGCCTGCCTCTGCCTCCTGAGTGCTGGAATTAAAGGTGTGAGCTTCCTTGTCAGGTCTTAACGACTCTCTCTTCAAGATATACCAGAATAAGCCAGGGCTTGGCAGTGGCTCCATCCTGCCGGTGAGAGGAAACAGGCGTTAGATATTGACAGAGAGAAGGGGTCTCTTGACTGTGGCTAGAACTTTGCTTTATTGTGAATGATAGGAAGACTGTAGACGGATTTTAGGGTGTGGCAGCCCATACCTGTAAACCAAGCGCTTGTGAGGCACAAGCAGGAGGATTGCAGACTCTAAACTATCTCAGATTGCATAGGAAGTTCTGGTCCAGCCTGGACTGCAAACTGAGACTTTGTCTCAGAAAAAGAAAAGAGAGAAGAAAAAGAAAGAAAGGGAAGAAGGGGCTGTAGGGGAAGAAGGAGCCGTTCCAGTGCCGGTGGCGCAGCGCGGCAGCATAATGGCTGCGTGGCTTGTTACCTGGGGCAGGACAAGCGTGAGGACACACACTTTGGACAAGGTATGGCATTCATTAATCCCAGCTATTGGAAGGTAGAGGCAACAGGATCAGAAGGCCAGCCTCAGCCTGGGTTACTCGAGACCATATCTAAAAAGCAGAGGGGCTGGAGAGACAGCTCAGTGATTAAGAGTACTGGCTGATCTTCCAGGAAAAATAGGGGTTTCATTCCTAGCATCTACATGGTGTCGACAACGTCTGTAATTCCAGTTCCAGAGGGTTCAGGGCCCTCATCTGGCCTCCTTGTGCACTAGACATACATGCAAGAAAGATATCCTACACGTTAAGATTATATATATATATGTATATATATATATAACTATATATATAGTTAATATAGTTAAACAGCCAGCCATGGTGCCACACACCTTTAATTCCAGCACTCAGGAGGTTGAGGCAGGCGGACCTCTGAGTTCAAGTCCAGTCTGATCTACAGAGTGAGTTCCAGGACAGCCAGGCCTACACAGAGAAACCCTGTCTCGGAAAAAATGAAATAAAAATAATTTTTTAAAATTAAAGTCAACAGAGAGGGAGAAAAGACCACTCCATGTCTGCGTGGAGAAACAGTGGAGGGCAACTGGAAGCAACGAGATCGATTAGGCGGCTGCCGGGATTTGTTCCCAGACAATAGTGAATTATTTAGCCTGTGTCTTTAAGCAGAAGGAGGGTGGTGGCTGAGCTACAGATGGCCTGTTGACAACCGACCTACACCTACGGGAGGGCAGTGCTGGCCCGACTTTCAGCACCACTAAAAGAACAGCTCTCATCCCGCTGGAGGAGTACAGTGCTGTGATCTGAAACCCACTAGTCAAGCCTTCCAAGTCCAGTGGAGCTGGCCATCTTGGGGATTGAGCCTTGGCATCCTCCTTCTGGAAACTCCTCACCTTTAAAACACATTTGCTGCCTTCTAAAGTGAAGAAAACCACTGGGCACAGCCTCCGAAGACCTCTGCGAGCCCACACAAGGTCCGCACCTTGGGAATCAGGGATGCCGTGGGGTGCGGGAGGGCACAAGGCCAAGGCCTCTGAACTAAATGGTTCACTCCCAAGGCTGGAGAATTAAAAACAACGCCGAGTCTGCAGCAGCCTATGGGAACGGGCGAGTGGAGGACTTTCTGCCCTGCACCGCTGCGTGGCACATCTCCTAGAGAACCGGACAGTCTCGGTGCCCCACACACGAGTGGCCACACCCTCCCTGCAGTACGGCCGTGCCTCTGTGGAATGCAGTCCTGCATTCTTCGCCCGTGGCCTCTCCTGCATGCAGCCTAGTTTTGATGAAATTACTTCTCTGCCGATCAACGCAATTCCTTTTCCAAGTTTGGATGGTGCCACTGGGGCTCTGGAACTGAAGAGCCCATTTAGTTTCTTCTCTGGAACCTTCTGTACCGGGTGCTGAGAGCAGGGTTTTAAGACTTTAAAGCTTAAGACTTTCGGGATTTCATGCTCAGAAATGACCTCCAGGTTTCCAGGCTCCAAAGACATGCTTTCTCTCAGCTTCCCTGTGGAGAGAGAAAAGAGAGCAAGCATGAGACCCCAGTTTTAGCCATTTCCCTCCAGCTGCCTCTGGGAGCCATCATTAGACAACATTTGAGCAACAGTATTAAGCCTGCTGCAAACCAAGAGTTCTCTGTCAATGCCCAGGTTCACACTGACTCTCTGGCCAGCACACTGACTTATTCACTAGCCAGCACACTGACTCCTTGGCCAACACACTGACCCTCTGGCCAGCACACTGACTCTCTGGCCAGCACACTGACTGGCTCTCTGGCCAGCACACTGACTGACTCTCTAGCCAGCACACTGACTGACTCTCTGGCCAGCACACGGACTGACTCCCTGGCCAGCACACGAACTGACTCCCTGACCAGCACGCTGACTCCCTGGCCAGCACACGGACTGACTCCCTGGCCAGCACACTGACTGACTCCCTGGCCCCACACGGACTGACTCCCTGGCCAGCACATCCTCTCTGTCCATTTCCCTGGTGCTTTCTTGTGCCTGGCTGGGTGCTAGCACTCACTTTGTCCTGAAGTCCCTGAGACTGATCAGGTCGCCACTTTGGAACTACCCTATCCTTAAGGGACAGTGGGTGAATACACAAATAAGGCCGTGCCCAGGCCAAGGACTCTTGGTGTGACTGTGAAGGCCTCACATCTGGTGAAACTTTCTCTCTTGCCTCCATCACTCAGTGAAGTTGTTTTTTTCTTTGATGATCTCAATCTTAGTTTCTCTACTTTTAAAATAGGAGACAACCAAGTCCCTCCCAGAAGGGAACCAGAAATGACCCACTGGTCACAGAGCCAGACAACAGGCTCTCTTGGGAACAGTTTCTCCAAGAACACACCTAGTAGAATCTTTTTCCAGCCCCCATCCAACCTATTTCCCTGAATTTCTCTGGACCCTTCTGACTTCTGCTGAGCCCCCAAGCAATCATTTCTTGTTGTGAGCTATTCGATAACACTGTGAATTCTGAGTTTGCATTTGCATTAATTAAATGAAATCAACCTTGGGTCAGGAGGCGGAGCCAGCAACTAACTGACAGAAAGTAATCATAGAGAGTCAGAGGGAGTCCGGAAGATGGATAGAGCGTTACACAGGAAGTAGGAGGGAGGGACTTCGAGTGTGGCAGTCTTTTTTGGTTTGGTGGAGTAGAAGGAGTCCTCTTTCTGAGAAGCCAGGTCTGCTAGGTGCTCAGCCTCTCTGAGCTAACAGGTTTTCACCCCAGTGGCAGGGGGTAGATCCAGCGGACCGCTGAGTCACTGCCTGAGAAGTGGACCAGCAGCTGAGGAGCTGCGATCACTGCTGAAACAACAGCAGATTCAGGTGCAGCCACGGTGCTGATGGAAAAACAATCCTCATCTGTAAAAGAGGCCAATCCATTCTACAGCTGGGAAGAGCAGAGCCTGGAAGTCCACTGTCCTACCCAGCCTTCAGCCAGTCACCACAGATGCCCCTTGTCACCCCCAGGAACTTTTGTTGTTGTTAACATTTTGAGATAGGGTTTCATTACGTAGGCCAGACTGACCTGGAACTCCTGTCTCAGCTGTTACAAGTTCTGGGATTTACAGACATTGCACCACCATGCTTGCCTGGTCTCTAAAGAGGCCTAGGGAACTACCAAAAACTTTTACTCACTGTCCCAGAAACATTGGCTCCTTCACCCAAGGACCAGGAGAATGACTTCTCTGGTGAGGGAGAATTAAATAAAACAAAACTCCAGCAATGCATCCACCATAGCGTCTAGACAGCCTCCCACAAGGAGCCTGCATCTTCTGACTGGCTGGCACTTTGACTCAATGGGTAGAAGAAGTTAAACAACCCAGCTGGAAACGTAGAGCTTGGGGGACTGCAACCCACATATGCTTGAGCATCTGAGAGGGCAGGAGTGAGACTCTGAGTCCTGCTGGACAATAGTGGGAGATGGGGTTGAGAGTGAAGAGGTCTGAGAAGGCTTTCCCACAGTGTTGGAGCAGGAACCACACTGTATTGTGTGACCCCTCCGCCTTTGCACACAGGACCCTTTGGATTGTCTTCCTCCCAGATCCTGACACCAGACCACACACTGCCTGGGCTGTTCCTGTCTGCTCTGGGGCCGGGAAAAGAAAAAAGTCTACCATCTTTTGACCTTCCACGTCTTTCTAATTCTGGCATTTTTAGAAGCTGAGAGGCAACTGATTTTTAATTAGCTGAAATGATGGACTGTCAGGTGCTCTGGTATTTAAAAATATCTATGAAAACAGCTATTATATGCACACATATAGCCGCCCTGGTTTTGGCAGATGTACATACCAGAGTCCTGGATTAGCTCTTCTCTCTGCTGTCCACCGGCAAGGCCACATCCCACGTGGCAACCTTGACAGTGCTGGAGTTGGGACTCTGCAGAGGTGTGTAAGGGAGGCAGACTGGGCGTGGTTTTCACCTGGTGTGGGGACAGTTATGGCAGTGTGGAGGAGTGGCAGTGTGTGCCTGCTCTGAGCCAGCCCTGGGGCTCTATGAAGAGACTGTGCCTTCTGCGAAGAGCAAGTCACCACCAACGACACAGGGTGGCCTGGGGCCAGACTTCTGCAGGGAAAAGGCCCCTCTAGCTAAGGAAGTCTGGCTTCTGCGGTTATCCTAGGCAACTCACTTTGTCACCGGAGTCCCCAACTTCCTGCCTTCCTTCAGATACACAGCACACAGTAGGTGCTGGGTCACCTCTACTTTTCTGTCTCTTCCTGGCGCCTGCATGCTCTGGTGCCCTGGGGTCCCCCTGCTGGCTCCCATGGTAACAACCTGAGCCAACGCAGAAAGCTTGTTGGTGTGTTTGTCTGTCTGTCTCCCTTCCTCTCTCCCTCCCTCCCCCTCCCTTTCTCCCTCCCTTCATTTTTCTTTCCCTTTCTTTCTCTCTTCTTCCTTATCATCATCATTATCATCTATTATATTCTAGTAATATAACCCAGAGTATCACACATGTCAGGCAGGTGCTCTACAGCAGAGTCACAATCCATCCCTGAAATTATATTTTAACTTCAAGGGACTCTCTGCCTGTAATTGTCTCCCCACCCCATTCCAGGCTCTCACCAAGTAACCCATGAGAGGCTGCCAAGATCTTATTTTCATGCAACTTTGTCATGAATGCAAAGACTAAAATTAAAAGGTGCTCTGATTAGCCCAATACATACTCAAGGAGAACTCTAATATTAAGTGTCACAGCTAACACTAATTGGGCACTTACTGTATATGTGACCTTTTTGGAGTCTGTATATCAGCACATTTAACCCTCACAACCATCACATCGGGTGGCACTGTTACCATCCCCACTTTAAAGCTAAAGACACCCAGGTCCTAAAATTCAGTACCTAGGGTCACACAAAATTGGGAAAAGGTTTAAACCTGGATAATTTCCAGAGCCAAGACCCCAATCCTTGTATTATACCAAGGAACATTGTGACAAAAATAAAAACAAGAAGCCAGATGGTGGTGGTGCTTGCCTTTTGGGAAGCAGAGGCAGGTGGATCTCCGTGAGTTTGAGTCCAGCCTGGTCTACAGAGTGAGTTCTAGGACATCCAGGACTACACAGAGAAACCCTGTCTCAAAATAAATAAACACAGAAACAAGAGCCTGGCATGGTGTCACATGCCTACATGTAACCCCAACACACAAGAGACAGATTGCTTGCAAGTTTGAGAGTAGCCTGATCTACACAGTAAGTTCTAGGTCAACCAAGGCTATACAGCATTAAATTAAATTAAATAATTAAGAAAACACAGGGTCAGAGAGATGGCTCAATTGTTAAGAGCACTGACTGCGGGCTGGAGAGATGGCTCAGAGGTTAAGAGCACTGACTGCTCTTCCAGAGGTCATGAGTTCAATTCCCAGCAACCACATGGTGGCTCACAACCATCTGTAATGAGATCTGGTGCCCTTTCCTGGCTTGCAGACATACATAGAGGCAAGATGTTGTATTCATAATAAATAAATAAAATCTTAAAAAAAAAAAAGAGCACTGACTGCACTTCCAAAGGGCCCAGGTTCAATTCCCAGCACCCACATGGCATCTCACAGCAGTCTGTAACTCCAAGTCTAGGGTATCTGACACCCTCACACAGACATACATGCAAGACACCAATGCACTAAAAATAAATACATTTCTAAAAATAACAGGAAGCACATTAGAAGTAGCTTCAAAATATCCTTTATTCTCTAAATAAGCCTTTGTAATTTTTTTCTACAAAGAGAAATAGAGGAGTGTTTTATTCATAGAGATGCTGAGGTTTCAGTGACACTTTGTGCTATCAGCAGTTATAGCATGATAAGGTCACACACATTTCCAAGAGAAGATCAGGTTTACAAAGCTTGCAAATGGGGGGTGGAGAGGTGGTTAAGAGTGCATACTAGTCTTATTGAGGACCTGTCCAGTGTCTCACAACCATCTGTAACTGCATATCAAGGGGACCTCTTCTCACATCTGTTGGCGCCTGTGTTCACATGCACATACGTGTTCACATGCACATGCCCACACACAACCACATGCACATAGGTAAAGATTAAAATAACAATAAACGGGCAGTTGGCTGGCCCACTTCTCATTGGTACGCTCTACCACAGCAGGATCATCAGCCTCTCTCTGGTCCTGGGGATGTGAGTGGGCCCCGGCAGTGCCCTCACCGCCATGGTGAGCTGCATCCAGCTCTGGCTTGGGCCAGAGTGCTGTGGTGCGGGTGGGTCCCCTGTAGGAAAGGGTACTGCTGTGCGAAAGCTATGGACACACACATGGAGTGGGGAGACACTCGGAGAACAGTTAATCCATCCTTCATGTCACATGGGAACTTCCAAGGTACCACAGCTGTGAGCTGGACACAGGCTACTAAAAGGTCCACTCCAGTGTGGAAGCCAGAGATGCGTTGTACGGGTTTTCTCATGGCCCCGGTCTTTCTCGGCATCTTGTGTTATAACTGTATACTAATAGTGGGCATCACTCACCACCGTATCCCAAGCCCTGTGCATAGGATCTGACGCA